CTGACGGCCGGGAGAGCAGCCAACTCCTGGGCCGCGAGCTCGGCAATGTTTTCCCCTTTCCAATTCGGCTCTCGTCTATTTCCGCGGTTTTATGCGCGAATTCACCCCGGAACGGACCGGTTTTTCTCCCAGCGGCCCCTGCGCACGTGGCGGCACACGATTGGCTCAGCGTCCAACCTGAGCCGGGGGCACCGGGGCGACACGAGGCGAATTGGGGGCGGCTCACGTGTAGAGCTGAGCCAGGCCTGGCGCATGCGCAGAGCGATGCTAGGACTGGCGCATGCGCAGTGCTGTGCGTGAACCGGACCTCGAGAGGCTGGGAAGGTGGGACTGGGTGAAGCTGATGGGGTTCAACATGGCACAGTTTGGCACTCGGGATGGAGGAATCCCAGCATCCATAGAGACTGGGAGGAGCCCCTTGAGAGCAGCCCTGCACAGAAGGACCTGGGGGTCCTGAGGGATGGAAAACTTCATATGAGCCAGCAGTGTGCGCTTGTGGCTCGGAAGGCAAATGGGATCCTGGGCTCCATCAGCAGAGGGGTGGCCAGCAGGGACAGGGAGGTGATCGTCCCCCTCTGCTCTGCTCCTGTGAGCCCCACGTGCAGCACTCTCCCAGCTCCATCCAGACAGGGAGCTGTTGGAGGGGGTCCAGAGGAGCCACAGAGATGAGCAGGGCTGCAGCACCTCCCTGCAAAGACAGGCTGAGGGAGCTGGGCTTGTTCAGCATGGAGAAGAGAAGCTGCGGGGTGAATCATTGCAGCCTGCAGTACTAAAGGGAGCCCAAAAACAGGAGGGGAGTCAGCTCTTGGGAAGGGGAGGTGAGAGCAGGACGAGGGAAATGGCTGGAATTGAGGGAGGGCAGGTTTCAGCTGGGTGTCAGGGGGAAGTTGTTTGCTGTGAGAGCAGTGAGGTGCTGGAACAGCTGCCCAGAGAGGCTGTGGATGGGCATCCATCCCTGGAGGTGTTCAGGGCCAGGTTGTTTGGGGCCCTGGGCAGCCTGGTGTAGCATTAGGTGGGAAGGTTGGTGGCCCTGCATGTGGCAGAGGGTTGGAGATTCATCATCCTTGAGGTCCCTTCCAACCCCGGCCATGCTGTGATTCTGTGCTGTAGCTCAGAGGTTCCATCAGGGTCTGTTTCAAAGTAGCAGGAGTTCTGTTCAGCGTCAAGACGAACGTGGTGGTACTGAATATCGATGATGACGGTGTCTTGTTAGCATTAAAGCTGCTTGGTGGTGAGATTTTGGTACGTGGGTATTGAGAAAGAATGTAATGGACTGGTAAGAATGAAAAGCAACAGCAGTTGGATCATTTTTTACACGTGTTCATAAGCACTTCGCACAGCTTTCCTGGGTTTGGGGAAGTTTTCCTTCCTTTGCTCCGTTTTCTTTTCTTTCCCCCCTCCTCACTCCTGTAATCGAAGACAGAACGGCGACTCCCGGGCGCTGCGCTGCCGGCCCAACCAACGGCGGTTGTTCTTTCCGCGGTCTCTGCTGCCGCCCCGTGGTCAATCCGTGGAACTGCAGCCGCTTCTGTCGCCGCCGCGGGCAGCACGGCGCATGCGCGCGGAAAGGCGGAAGTAGCGAATCTGAGTTCTGACCGCTCTGCGCAGCGAATCCGCCAATCTTTGTTATGCTCAGTCCTCCAGGCAACAGCGCGCATGCGCCGGGAAACGTAAATCGCACCCATTTCTACTGACGGCCGGGAGAGCAGCCAACTCCTGGGCCGCGAGCTCGGCA